GCGCCGGCCAGAACCTGCCACTGCTTCAAGGGAAAATGGGAACATCAGTGACTCCCCCTGCACAGGGAGGGAAGAGTTTCTCCAATAAATAAATGAATATAAACAAATAAAGGTCTTCAATAAATAAATTAATATAAATAAATAAACAAATAAGGGCGACTCTCCACTCCTCACCGGGGAAGGACAGCTTCTCAAAAGCACAGCCCTCCCAGCCCCCGCATAGCACAGCCGTCGCAGCCACCTCGCGCTAACCCATCGGCTAGGGCACAACCTCGGGCACCATCGTGCTGGAAGGACKGAGGTGTCCCCAGAGCAACGTCCCCAGCCTGTTGTGGCCCGTTGTGGCCGGTGGCAGCGGCCGGTTGGAACTGAGCCCCTTGGTGCGTTAGGAGTCTGCTGTGCTGGGCCCAAGGCAGTCTTTGCTGTTGGGCAGAAATACGGGCCGGCACCTGCTTCCCTGCAGTGCCCACCATGCCCAGATGCCTGCCGGAATCCATAGTCCATAGATGGATTGATTGATGGGGCTATGTCTGCCTAAGGAGGTGGGATAGGGCACGTGGGGTTGCTACAAATGAAAGTGGATGGTTTCCATTAGCTATTAGAGCATACAGTCCCACTTCACAGCATAAATTCCAGCGTTCTCAGGAAATGAGAATTTAGAGAAGCAGCAAATTCCTGAAGAAGCTTCTCCGATCAGCGTGTTTCTCAGCTTGCCGGGCCTCCGCTTGAGGAGGCTGTCTCAGGAATGYGCAGGAAACCTGGAATATGTTTTCTCTGTAGGTTTGGCAGCCAGAAGAGTTAACAATAACTGCAGGACTGCTGAGAATTTCGCCTAGGTTGCTACATCAGTTCTCTCAGGTCTTCGCATAAATATTTAATACAGTGGAAAAGTGGATTCGTCCTCATGAGATTTGCAAGWTCTGCAAAATGAGGACACATGAGGTGGAGGAAGAGTTACCCCTTTCAATTTTGCAAAACCCTATACAAAGACAGAGGTGAAGATGAATACAGCCTAGTTATAAATATAGGCTTCTGGCTTATATACAATCTCCTAATGCATACAATAGAATTTATGATAGGAAATAATCTATGCTTGCATAGTAGGAAAAATGATCTAACAGCCTTTGCAACAAATACCGTGTCTTTGAATAACACTCAGATCTGAACAATTCCTTTACCCAAAATCTCTCCCTGACCTGGAAAGAACAAGACAAAGACAGATATCAAGGGTGTCAAGAGAAAAGTTTCCTTTCTCTCCAACTATACCAKTTTTATCTCCAAATTCTACTTTTATAAAGTACAGAACTGGATAGGTAATTCTAAATATGCTGCAGTCAGCTGACATTACACTTGGAGTATAATGTTTAGTCATAATAGTTTTAAGGTTTGGTGATGGACTAAAATAATAATAAACATAATGCTGATTAGCATTAGCAAGTATCTTGAAAAACAGTCTGACTTGACTCTGTTTGATAAAGTGATCTCGTAAGATCACTTTATTCAAAAAAAAAATCTGCATTATCTAGGTATTTTGTATACAGTATAAAGAGACCTCAAATAAAACAGTTCTATTCATGACTTTCATAGCAATTAGATGACCTTCATTAAACCATTGCATATATTTGTTATATAAGCTACTCACTCCATCTAGTGATGTTCATCTAATTTTTTCAGACTTAGTTATTCCTCCTACCACAGTCATGTAAATACATTTGTAGTATTGCAAAACAATGTGCTTTGTGTTAGTTTGGCTCCTACGTCCCCCTGTTGCAATATGACTGATGTTGCAATGGTCTGATGTCTCATGAAACCCCAAAAGTGAACACCCATAGTAGGAACACGGCCTCTCTTCCTCTTGATCATTATCTAACTCCAATCTGAAGCAGGCAGTAAAATACTATCTGTATTTTAATTTGAATTATTTTCCCTCAAAGTTCTTTTAGAGTAATAGTACATTATATTCATAATGCTCCTCTAACCA